CTGATATTCTTTGACCATTCTGTATCTGAGGGCTGCTGGAACGCGGGTCCAAAAAACTTCAAACTTTGCCCAGAAGCCACACTGCAGTTTGAACTTCAATAACCACCTTGTCTTTTTTCTCTAGCTTTAAAGCCAGTTTTTATTAAGTGTATTTTCAGCTTTTTCCAACAAGATACACTTTTAGGATTCAAATCAATGCAGGTTGGAGAACCAAGTGAAGCAGCTACTTTTGTGGTCTCTCCAGTAAAATCACTATCAGTGTTTTTGGAACAAATGACAGGTTTTTTGCACACTGCTCACCCGTAGATAATAGTTCCACTTCTGCCCTGTTTCTTGCATGAAGAGAGCCAATGCAAGGACTGCTGAGGTAGCCAAGCCTGACACGAGTTTTGCCATTTATTTAATCTTCAAAAGTTAGTTACCCAAGTAAAACATTAGACAACATTTTTCTTACACTGATAAATTATTGCAAGGCTATTTTATTCCTAAATATTGATTTTTAAAAGGGAATGCATGAGTTCCTTGATAAATGGACTAGAACATCAATCATGCAATTTACTCTGACATTGAGTGAAATACAAACACTTGAAGGATGAAAGAAGTGGGCACTTTTGAAGGTGGTAACTTGTTGAACAACACCAATAATAATCACAGTACACACATGAAGCATCGGGCGACATTCTTCAAATCAGTGCTGTTTTCATTGCAAGTCAAAAGTGATGGGCACCAGTCACCAAAGCAGTAGGCAAGGTCTTAAACTGGCTTACCAAAAAAAAAAAAATAATTTTGGTAAAAAAACATTTTCCATGTTTTATTCATTTTAAGAGACAGTATTAACTACGTAATTATTGTTGTAATTCATTCCTTATGTTGCTATGGATAAAACAGTAACTTATCTGCAGTAATTATGCAATAGGCTGTAACTAACTGAAATATGAATACTGCCAGTTTGTCCCACTGCGTTTCAGTTCTGCTACATAATTGTTAATGTTCACAACAGTGCAGTAATTGAATTACAGAACATTAGCCACATGATTATAATAATCATAAACTGCTATCAAATGGAAGACTGAATAAGGCTTCAAACACTGAAGTTATGAAGTTCACACTGAACAATACCTATCTTTCTCTTTAGAAAGATTTAATTTCTGCCATAGCTGTAACTTCACAACAGGTGACATACTGAAGTTTCACAGGTAACTTCCACTACAGCTGTTTTACATACATGTACTTGGTTTGATTTGAATGCACCCAAGACAGGTGGCTAAAATGGCCATGTTTCCAACCTTGCAAAATGCTAAAATGCTTATCTGAATTAGGTTACCTTCTCAAGAAACACTGAGCAGAAACCAGAGCAGCTTTGCATCCAGAGACTTCCTCACAAATTTAGAGGGATTCATCTGATCCAGCAAGTGCTGACCATGTACGTCAGCTGTCTGTATCAGGCAGACACACCATTTCCATCATGAAGAGAAGGCAGATTACCAAAGAACTCATCACGATAAAAGGAAGGCATTTGAGATTCTGCAAGAACATTCCCCTTTGAAATGTTTCTGGTGATCTGTTTTGATTAAAACTCAATCTTTCTGACCACTGAATTGAGGAGAAGAGGAATCTTTCTCAAGACAGGACTCTCATTTCTCAACAGGAGAACTGCGTTGAGGTTAACGGTTAAAAGCTCATTGCCTTCTCTAGATCAGGCACTAATGCCTAACTTCCTTTACTAAAATATATGAAAAGCTCAGCACAGTTTTGTCCTATATCACAGTATCACCGCACAGAAGTATTTATTTTCTATAGTTTTCTTCATTTACTGAAATTCAAACAAAGTCAGCAAGGCCAAAGAGACCGTCAGCTCTGCTTCCAAGAGCATTGGTTTCATCCCAAATGCTTGTTTTGGAAGTCACTGTTTCTAATTAGGAAGACTTTACCACTGAGATTTACATCTTAAATACAGAATTATTCTCATTAGCCATTTGTTGCACGGCATTTGTTGCATCTTTTTGGAAAGATTAACTAAATGTCATGCATAAGATCGTGACTGAGAACATAACTGAGATTGAGATCGTGTCTAAAAGACTCTTACAATTATTCTTCCAGAATACTTGCACCATCAGAAATACCTGAAGTCTAGACTAGCACAGGGTAAGGCCATACGGTACCAACCAAGACAGGAAGCCAATAGGGGATTTTTGCACCTGGCACCTCCAAGTTTTCTTCCATCACTGGACAGCTTCCATGAGCCCTTTTAATGTGTGAAACTGTAGATCATTTGTGGTGAATAAAGCCCTTACAGATTACTCATTGTTAATTAAATAACCTGATTCTGTCCACTGAATCTAATGCATTAAAGTATTTAATGTTTGTTTGGTAAACTGCTTTGCTAAATGCTCCTTTGACTTTTATTGGTAATAAACATTAAGCATTTATGGCCTGTGAAAGCAGTTTCACATCTAGCTTATGCTGTTACTATTTACAGTTTGTTAATGAAACACTATTAACTTGCTCCAAACTGCAAGTTGTTTTTGTTCTACTCCTTAATTTTTATTATATAGTATATAGAAAAAGTCAATGAAATCAAATCAGCTATAAGTAGCAAACAGTACTTGTTACAAAAAGTTACGCTGTCAAATCAAAATGTTTTCAACTCTTAATGCTCCAAGTAGTACTTTCTGCTTTTATTCCTGCTTGTTACAAGCACACATTGCAGTCTTTGCACTTGCCCACTCACAGCCTGTGCTCCCTATGAAGAGGGGATGCTGCTCCCACAAGAGCCTGGGGAAATGGCACTTGAGGCGTGGATATGGAAAGCTTTAGCTCAGTCTGAATTAAAGCCTTTTCCATGGTACGTTAGCAGCTAAAACACACACACTTGAAAAACAAGAAACTGTTTTCTCACCAAAAAAAGTACACATTACTCCTCCTTCTTTAAACTGATGCAATAAAACTCAAAAGCGCTCTTGAAATTTAAGAACTGTGCATGCAAGTGATCTGTGTTGCTATGGAAGAATTTCACCTGCCAGGCCACTGCTGAGACAGGATCTCCTGTCTGTCCCACACAGCCAACAGCTGAGCCCAAGCCCCTCCAGGGGACTGTGTTCTGTGTCTAGGGAAAGCAAACAGACACTCTGCTTCGTAGTTGTTTGAAAGCACATTTCCTCAAGTGTTAGCCATGCATTGCAGCCACAGTTGCTGAGTATAACTCACGATCACCCTGTTTCCCTGTCTGTATTCCTGGCCAGTATTTGTGGGAGGAGCACGCTGCCAAGACTTCTGAGTATTTAGCAAGCAACGTGGATTTCTGAAGTAAAAGACAGGCTGGTTTGGTGTTCTAATGCATTCACTTCTTGTAACATAACCATTATTGTGACAATGCTGATCCATCTAAAGTAAACACTAATAGGGCAATTCATTATTCACTTTAAGAGATACCCAATTTGTGATAAAATTCATGAAATAAATGGGATGGCAACAGATCCAGCTGTTGTGCACTTAAGAACGACAGCACATCCATCAAGCCATGAATGATACACAGTTCCAGAACAGGTGATCTCTAAGACAGGCCCCAGGCAGATGCAGGTCAGAGCAATGCCTGGCAAACAGGGGCTGCATGCAAGGCCAGACACAGGCACTTGGTCACCATTTGGCTGGGCCTCTGCACATACCAGAGATGCAAACCTGCAGTGCTTGGCCTGTACTTCCTCAGGGTTCTGCTCCCACACGCAGCAACCTGCAGCACAACGAGCCATGGGGAAAGGAGCTGGTGAACAGAAGAGCTAATGAGGAGCTACACCTGTGTCCAAATTAAACCCAGCACTGAAGGGGCAATGGGACAGAACCACTTGGGAGGCACAGACCTACACTCACAGGGAGCAGCCTCCCTGTGCTGCCCTTTGGATGCCTTCCCTGATGTTTTGAAGCCTCCACATTACAGCTGACCGCTGCTCAAGGCTGAGCTGCAGGATATTCCCTGTGGCTGCAGTTCGAGCTCTTTATTTCTCTTTAAGTTCCTTTAGTTTAACATTGATTATGGTGGAATGCCCTTAGATAACAGTGTTAAAGTGTGACTAACTTACTGCTGGGCTACATTTTATCTTTGGAAAAATCATGTGTATGTGAAGAGTTTAATCATAATTTATTCCACTATAACGAATACGTGTGAAGTGCAACATTAAGAAATTTTGATACTCAAGTCATACAGCCATAGAGGGGGAAAAAAATCCTGCATTCTCCTACCCCACCACCCAAAGTCAAGCAGAAGTTAGCTTCTTTTAGCCATCTCTTAGCTTATCTATTCTTAACCTTGCTTCATAAGTGACAGCAAAATTAAATGGAAGCAATCATGAATCATAGGAGGATCAGAGCCGGGTTACTAATTGGCCTATTTTCTGTACTCTCAGAATCCTCTTGAGCAATTTTCTCCAATTATAACTGCAAATCAGCATGTTATTTCCCCCTCACGAGCTACCCATTGCTTAAGGACTAACTAGGTGTCCCAGGATATTTCCTGATCTACTGCTGGAGACCAATTCCTACTATTAAATAATTACAGGAAGTTCAGAGTCCCATGCTGGAGGAAAAAATAATTCTATTTTACCTACTAAGACAAGGTAATTGAAAGCCTTAATTATAGAGAATAAACCTTATTTCTACTAGGAAGCTTTTCTAATACTTGGGGATCTTCTTAGATCAAAGCTGAGGACAGCCTTAACAGAATATACTCAGCACTTCCTCTTCAGATATTGATTTCCCTTCAACACAAAGGCTATAATACAAAAACTTCGTCAACTAGAGAGTCCACTTGAAAAAAGCATGACAGTTATTCATTGCTATTGTTCAGGGGCATCAAATATACAATTAAACTTGCACGCAATTAGAGCAATCAAAGTATAGCCGTTTGCTTCTTTGCTGCGTCTATAGCTGCATGCTAATCACACAATTTACATTTCACCTGTTACTAGTATTCAAGATGCACTATGATGTCTATTATTTAGCTAACATCAAATTTCCCTCATAATATGAAATACATCCTGAGAAGATGGAACATCTTTTCTAAAGGACAAATAACAGCTCAAATAGACTCCTCTGGTAAAAGCAAGATGACAGAACAATTGACACTTCTAAATGATATTATAAGTCTCCTTTCACACAGACAACAGAAACACTTAAAACTGATCTGGAATAAAAGAGAGAGAAGAAATCACTGCTTACACATTTCAGAGCAGCAGTACTGAGTTGGAAAACAAAGTGCCTGGGATTTTCAGACAACAAGATGACAAAGTCTCCATAAACAAGTGGAACTTTGAGGAACACCATTACACACAACCTTCAGTTTGTATGTCTTTCCCAGGCCTTGCTGCCTGTCTGTCCAGGGACTGAGCTGAGCTTGCTCTCAGAACAATGCCATCCAGCTCATTAGTATCTACAGGCTCGTTTTCCCTGGTGACATCTGTCAGGAGTATTCACTCATCTTTCACAAATACTTGATATTAGAGAAGAATTCTTTTCCTGGAGAAAGCACTGGAGCTATTTCTTCACTGCTTGAGCTAGGAAAATGTTTGTGGAGTCAGCATCACACGTACAGGTTCAAAACCAATCCTATATCACAAAAAAAAAGTTTGATATTGGAAATACTTTTATCTCAGGTAGGTAAAACTGAAAAAAAAAAAATCAGAAAATCTGTGAAACAGCTAGCAATCTGTTCTGCTTCGGTCACTTAAACTGTTCCAAACACTGCTGTCAGCGTAGAAACAATAGTTTATATTAAAGGTAGGCAGCCTGCCGTAGACTAAAATGAAATACATTTATTGGAGCATCATAAGGGATGCTAGAGATTTTTAAGGCTTAGTGTCAGTGACAGCAGTTCCTCAAACCTTCCACAGCATCTGGGGCTGTCACACAGCAACTAGGGCTGTCTATGCAACAGACACTGGTGTTGCTGCCCAGAGGTTGCTAACCAGCCAGCACATCTCCTCCTGAAGATTGTCTCAAGTTATCCTGCAAATAACTCATTACTACTCCTAATGATTATCTCATATTCTGTTTTGAATAAAGAAATTGTACTAGTGACATTTAAAGAATTATTTTATGTGTTGTACAGAGATTCTCCTCTGCAGAATATTTGAAGTTGTGCTTCAAAAATTTCCAGTAGTTTCTGGAAGTCTCAAAAATATTGACCACGTTTCTCAGTACTGCAATGCTGCTCTTTAACAGATCCTGTAGGGCCTGAAGCACAGTACCATTAAAGGTGTTGAAACTGTCTGAACTGGGTATGCCATTCATGTCTAAATAACCTACTTCAAGTTGCCTAGTATTCAGTATCATCTTTTTACTGTAAAAGCTGTGGGATATTCGTAAGCTATATTCAAGATAAGTGGGCAGGGTGAAAAGCGTTCTCACCTTTATCTCTTCAACATAAAAATGTTCATCTGAGGTCAAAAGGGTAAGCAATACTTCTGCCTTTGTCTTCAAGTGATGTGAGATATGCTTAAGCAAGTATATGATCTGCCTGTCCTTTTCTGGCCTTCAGTTTTATTGTGCTTTGGAGCTGAGCCATTGATGCTCCAAAGCAGCAGCATGCATTCAGCTGTGAGTCACAGCACCCCCTCTTCTCTTTCGCCTGCAGAGAATTTCAGATAAGCGTTAGAAAAAGCAAGCATTACACTGTTGACTACAGCAATGTTTTGTGGGAAAAAAAGAGCACCATTTGGCTTAAAGCAAGAAAATGAGAAGTATCAACAGTGCCCCAAGCAGAGCCTAAGATTTACAGTTCTGTAGCCAAGACAAGTTGACAGAAGGTTAAGTGGTGGCATTTATGAAGCACCATCAGGTCAGGAGGTGCACCAGCACTGGACAAGAGATGCCTAAAACACACGCAAGATGTATGTACAGAAAGGCAGTTGGTGTGCTGGGGCTTTCAGATTTCTCCTTGTTTGGAATTAATCCTAAAATGAAGGATATTCAGGGCAACAGTACTCTGCTTCTTGCTACATACTTTGCCAAAAACTAAGGCTGTTCAATGGTTGCACCTTCCCTATATATTGCATCAGTATCTACTGGTCTAGATGACCTGCGCCTACCTTCACACTGGGTTAATGAGGAGATTTGGGAAGCCATACAGAAGGGAGAGTGTTTAGACAAGACATAACTGTCTCTCTAATTGAGGAAAAATTACAGCAGAAAGCAACATTTGCTGCAAGAGACAGATGCACATTGAATTTGATAATCCACAGTTTACATCTAAATCAGGATACATGCTGCTGGGATGTTGATCTGTACTGCAGAGAGAAAAAAAAAAAAACAGCTTACAGTATTTAAGCTCTCTCAGATCGGGCCATTGTATCATATATTCATTTTGATTACTTATCTCTTAATTTATTGTACTCTCAAATTGCCACAGCTATTTGTTGTAAGCATAGATACTCCAGTCCCATACACTAGCTGTCTGATGCTACCAAAGTAGAACAGGTCCCAGCTCTCAACCCCACAACTGATTAGGAGGCCATCCTCACGGCCTGCATGTCAACAGCCCTAAGCCTCCTTGAGCAACTTTGTGAGGGTCTCTACAGCTGTCATCACCCAGCCCTGAGTTGACCAGTGCTGTGCGGTTGCACCCTTATCACAGAGGCCACTGCCTCTACCTGGGCATGGACAACATTCACTTCCTCCACAGAGCTCCTTTATGGATGGTGTCAAGTCAAAAAATACACTGCTCATGTGCATGATGACAGCTACATGCGGTAGTGATCCAATTAAAAAAATCCATAAATTGCATTACCTTGCATTAAACTTTCAACTTGAGGTGAGCATGGAGTAGACTCGACATTCTCACCTATTCAGGTCAGACATTTAACACTGCATGCTCCAGGTCTATCTCTCCCCAAGGAAAGGCTGTTCTTCCTTAATGAATGCATACACTCACTTTATATTTTCCCAAAGCAGTTTAGTTAGAGCTTGGCTGATATCCAACTCAATCTGCACAGAAACATGAGATGACTGTGAATACACTAATCAAAAATATAGAGTAAGGAAAGGTGCAGAGCATTACCCCCCAGAAGAAGAGTTTGATTCAATTTCTTCCCCTTCCCTAGTTTTATACCTATGTGGTGCCAGGGATATTACTTCTATTCACCTATGCTATGGAAAAGAAATAATTAGATTGAGTGCATTCAAAACATGAAACCAAAATACATAAAGCCTACTAAGTGAGATTATGTTCTTACACAGATAGACCCTTTGAGTTTAAGAGTAAATACAGGAGAGAAGCTCCAAAATTAAGACCTGAATTTGAGACCAGGCATGTCAGATTAAAGAAAACAGGACAAAAATACAACCCCTGACAGCAAGACAAGCAAGTGATTTATTTTTCCTTTGAAATGCAATAAAGTGATCTTTTCTGTTGGTATTTCTGTGAGGGTCTAAGGATTATGTTCAGATAGTTAAAGATGACTACAGAGGGAACTAAACACCTAAAAATGATCCGTGGCAAGTTTATAAGTCTATATAACTCAGTTGCATTCCAGTATGTAGACTGCATAAACCTAATAGGAGGATGCTTTGGGTTGGAGTAAATTTGCTTTTTTCCCCCAACACAGGCAGTCTCAAATGATATATTTATTACACAAGTGAGTGGAATACCCAACAGAATAGAAATAGAAGCAGAACTTCAATACTGCAAGAGTCGGGTGGCAGATGGGCTCATTAAACTACTTTATAAGGTCAACTTCTGCAACTTTCAGTTCAAGAAAGTGCTCTATGTACATCTACTGGAGCTTCCTGCCAGGCTGAAGCTCTGCCGTACCTAAATGAGTTACCTCACAACATACACAGCTGTGTTTAAAATAAATAATTTTATATTAGACACTTCTCAGAAGCAAATCCCTAGCTCCTCTAGGTGACTTCTCTTCAAAGGACTGATAAAGACCGTAAATTCTCTGTTTGGAGCCCATCTCCTGTTAATCTCCTTGCAAGACTGCATGGAGCCTCACTTCATCTTCAAAACTCTAATGAGTTTTTTGATTTTATTAGATGTTCTCATTGATTTCATTTAGTGATTTATACATTGGTTATCCTCTTAGCAATTAGGTATTTTTCCTTCTGAAGGTAAGACAAATTACAAAGACAGCCCACAACAGGTCGCACAAAACAACCACAGCCATCTCCAAGGAGACATTAAGTGCCCAATTGTGGGAATAAAGTAACCAAAGAAAAATAATACAACAAAACTGAAACCAATTAGGGTGCTTCACATTATGGATTGAAACCCAAGCACCTAGGAGATTAAAAGTGAACTTCAAAACCAGCTAAACTGGTGAGTCATTCTAATAAGACTGGCAAGCTGTGAGCAGTGGATTGCTGCAAAGTCCCTACAGTTCTCAGGCTGTGCAGTTCCAGCTGAGAACTGGGGACAGATGCAACAGGCACAAGGGGCTCAGCCTACAGCATCCACTCCCAACACACTGCTTTTAAGTCCTGAGCCCTATGAAGCAAGACAGAATCAGCAAAAGATCACTATTTCCCCAGGAGAAGACCAAGCGCTCTAGAAGAAGTAGTGAAATGATTTTTTGTATCAGAATAAATGCTGTGTTTCAGGACACAAGAGAAGGAAGAGAACATTTCTCTCTGCAAGTTGGCAGGAGCAATTCAAAAGCAGAAAAAAAACAGATTTATCTCAGATCTGTAGTTCAACATGAGCTCTACTGCACATGGCATTACAGGAATTAACATTCCACTAACAAGTGGAGAAATAATTCTTTGGGAATCTTCAACTGCTTCACTGTTGCCAGTCAAGAGGCCTTCTTCAGCTCCATCTGGACATACTCTAGCTTGCTTCCAGAAAAGCCTTCTCTGTTTCTTAAGCAGTAGTTTTTACATGCAATCATTCCAACATCAGAAGGAAAAGTGTAAGAATAAGTAGTATTTTATGTATTGTAGTAGGCAATCTGGAGGATTCTCTTAAGATAAACAAACCAGACAGTAAAAATTCAAATGCAGAATCTGTTCAACATGCTGAGAATTAATGAGCTGGAGGCAACCATAGAAACATAAAATAATTAAGTTTGGAAAAGAGCTAAGATCATCTAGTCCAATCATCCATCAACGCTGCCCACTAAACCACGATCCTTGGTGCCATATCTCCATGTTTCTTGAACACGTCCAGGAATGGTGACCCCACCACATCCTGAGCAGCAAGTGCCAGTGCAACACCACTCTGGAATGTTTCCTAATACCTGAACCTTCCTAGTGTAACTTGAGGCCGTTCCCTCAACCCATCACTGTCACCTGGGAGAAGATGCTGGCCCCTGTCTCACCACAACCTCCTTCCAGTTGGTTGATGAAAGCAATCTCCAATACCCAAGAGGTATAGGCCTCAGGAGGAATAATATGCCAATGTTTCCCCCAGAACATGCCCAGGCTGTACCCTCTCCCAGCAGGAGAGCTGTCTGGGGAAGGTTTGAAGCCACAGCCCGTTCAACATACTGCTGGCAGACTTGTTCCTTAGCCCTGCACATGCTCACCCAAACTAACCTCAGTCCCTCAGACTCTGCTGCATGGGGCAATGGACTTCGATTACATCCTGCCATCCTCTCTATTACTGCCACATGGAAAAGCATTGAAAAGAACTCACCACTGAAAAGATGAGAAGGGAGAGAACAAGCTCACAAGCACACCTCCTCCTCCGTGCATTGTTCCCATTAACATCAGCAGCTATTCTGCTAAGTTGTAACCCGAGGGGATAATTAAACTCTTGCTGTTTCCAGGCTCCCACATCACCCGCTGCTCCCTGCCCACAGCCACTCAGCGCAGCCACATGGGAGGGACCTCAAACATTTTCCAGAGTCAGCAGCACTGCCCACCTTCTGTTAGTTTTCAAACATCAAAGCTGCCCTTATTTCAACATTTACTCAAGAACCATTGAGGTTACGGTGAAACTGGGACAATCGTGATAGTAAGTTTGAACACGGGAGATAAATGATTAAAAGTTCTCAAGGTAAGAGTACTGTCTTTTCTGGAGGTGCTGCCTACTTATATTGATGAATTTCCTTCTCCGTGGTGTACAGCATCACTTCAGGCTGCAGTGCAGTAAAGAGAAATTATCTGGAAGCTGCTCCGCTGGCACTGCAGCACAGCTTAGGTGGGAAGTCACGTAAAGCCGCATCACTCAAAGCACTGACTGCCACACTGGCAGTAGTTTTAATTTATTGAAGTGAAGGGACAACCAATTTAAGTCTCGCTGCAAGAATTATCAGAGCTGTTCAAAAGAAAATGCAGAGTGGGGGATAAATGATTAGGTCCCACTAAAGTTTCCGCAGTTGTTCTCATTCATAAGCAGATCTGCACTCCCAAAAACTGCCCGGGGGGTCAGAGACGTTTAAAGCTGCTGGAGAGCCTCAATACAAGGGCAGCAGACATACAGCTTCCTCTCTCTGCGCCAGGAGGCCGTGCACAGCCTATTGCACTGCTTCACACTGAGGGGGCTGAACCCACGCACACTATATAAATCAGTAAGGGGTAACACCTGGTGTTGTGTGGCCAGGTGAGCCAGACTGAGGGTCAGCCTCAGCACCAGACCCATTACTGATGGGGGACAATGTGCTTTCTTCTGAATTCTTTAGCTTATTAAATGTAATTAAATATAAAACCTTTTTAAATTATCCAGTCTTTAATCCAATGCAGGTTAACAGGGTCATACCAGAGCAGCATATGCATATTGACTAGACTTAAAAAGTAGCAACAGTAGAAGGAAAAAAAAAAAATCCTGCTTTCTCCACTACTTATCATAGGGCAATCACAGGTCAAACGTACCCAACAAAACACAAACAACCCTCTGCTGCACAGCATAATGAAACACAGCTAGGAACCAGCCATCGATGAAGCAATCAATAACTCACACATCTGAAGAAAGCAAGTAGGCTGTAACATCGTCCATACACCTGACATTTGCCAGCAGTAACATTAATCCCTAGATGAAGCCTGCTATACCTTTAGGTACTTTATCCCCCAAAGAAGTATCCATAGAATTAATTATAATGTTGATTCTGAATAGTGCCTCAGATTGGAAATTAGTCTAGTGTTTAAATTAAGCAGTAGATTGAAATGGCTAATTGTTATCAGCTCGTGATTAAACAAAAGAGCCACAGGACTGACTATAAAAAAGTTTGTGCTGCATATCACTTCAGTGTGACTGATGTTCAGAGTTGCTGAGTACGTGCTAATTGCTGCAGCATCGTTAGGTTCAGCTGAGGGTTCAAGGTTCAGAGGTTTAAAAATAACATCTCTCATTCCTTCCATCGGTGATTTGGGGCTATTTGCAGGTAGCAATGCTTTGTGAGGACACAAGCACTCAGTTACTCAAAAATCATCCATGATCCCACTCCCAGTCCAGCCCCCAAGAGCAGTCCCTTCTTCATCTCCAACACTGCACAGCACAAGTAAGGAGAAAAATGAGCAAAAAGGGGCTGGGAAGACATGAAACCCCAGCTGAACTCAAGCAGAGAGAACAAAGCTCTTCCCAAGAGCTGTTTTTTTGACCAAACCCTTCATTTGCTTTTCATGTAACAAAAGCCACAATTCAGACCCTGTTGATTTGGAGATGTCGGAGTAAAAGTCTGGACAAGGAAAGGACAGCAAAAGTAATATCTTCATGCCCTATACTTTCCTCTGCAATGAAACCCCAGGCACGCAACTCAAGAGAAACTGCTCAAAATTCCACTGACCATTGAACACTCCTCTCCTTGCAGGAGGCTGGAACAATAGGAGAAGCAGAAGCAGCAGGAGAAGCAGAGAAATCACCACACCAGGGCAGAGAATGGGAGTGCGAAGCAGGTACCAGAAATAGCCAGGAAATGAAGATTTCTATAAAAGGATGAATTTGAGGGTTTTGCTGGGGCAGGTGAGAAGAAGGGGAGAAAAACACCAAGGAGTCCCACCTCTCTGCCCTCCTCCAACCCTGCACAGCCACTGCCTCTGTGAGCAGGGTGGGATTTCTGGCTATTTTTTATCAATCACTTTACATAGAGCTCCATAAATGAAATCGCTAATGACATTGAGAGGTAAAGCAGAGACCTGAAGTTGAGAGAGTGTCAGAAATCAGCTTTGTGACCTCAGCTCACACCTCTAGGGACATTTAACAATCATATTAGAAACACAGAATAGCCTGGGTTGAGAAAGGACCATAATGATCATCTAGTTTAAGCCTCCTGCAACGTACAGCGTCACCAACCACTAGACCAGACCGCCCAGAGCCACATCCAGCCTGGCCTTGAATGCCTCCAGGGATAGGGCATCCACATGCACTTAGTGTATCATTTACTGTTCCAGAATTTCCCATGTGAGATCATGAAATAATGTAGGATCAGCGGAAGTTACTCACCAAACCAGCAAGTATTACAGGGATAGTTTCTGCAGCCACGAGATCCAGACCTGTTCCTGAGAACACAAAGGCACACTTGACGAAGGTGACACTTAGCTGCCAGACTCCAACCTCCCCTCCAAATTAAACAGGAAACCACCATTTCAAGGAGAAGTACCTAACACACACCAAGTTGTAGTTTCTCCTGAATTCATTCCCGTAATGGCTAAAATACGTTCATTTAAATACTCCTAAAATGGGAATCTGCAAGCGCAGCAAGCATCCAGCCAAGAGACATAAAGCAGAAAGGCCATACTCACAGTTACAGGAGGACACAGCTGCAGCACTGCAGCAGTTGGACTGCAGATCCAGCAGCCCCTCGCATCCCATTTACTGGTTGGCCACAACAGTTCCCTCAGACCTCTGCTCCCTCCCAAAGCGCACACAGACTCCCAGTGACCACCAGAAAAGTGGCAGTCAGCTGGAGAAGTGCTTGTTAAGTTCACTGGTTTCCACAGCAAAAGCCCACAAACTGGGCCCACACCTGCCTGATCGTGGCCATAGTCCTTTCCTACTTGCTGAGCAGTAAGTGTTTGGAGAAACAATTACACAGAACTACAGGCCAGAGTATTTTGTTACATTTACTAACAGGAATATATTTGTGCAAATGTGCATCTGTTCAGGGTAAAGAAGGGTCTCCAAGCTGTTTTCATATTTGGCTTAAACGTTATTCCACCAAGATCCTTGTAACAGGCTCCTAAAACAAAAGGCAATTGCCAAGTTGAGCCTATCTGCAGTTCATTGCTTTCTCCAATTTTTAGGCACCCCCACTTCCCTACTCAGTTTGGCTCAGCTTCCCAATAAATTGCCTTAAGATTCTTAATACCTGTTCAATTATCTAATTCCTGGAGCAACTCACATCAATACTGGATGCCCTCCAAGGGCAGCAAGCAACAAGGCAATTCCCTGGGCTGCAAATGACAAAGGATGCTGCTCACTCAGGCACTGTGCATCTCTGTGCCACCTTCCCCAGATCAGTGCTGAATGAATTTGCCCACAATAACAGGATTTTGCTGGGCAAGATCTGCTGACTTGTGACAAGAACATGGAGAAGGTGGCCGGCCCTGTTTTGGCCTGACCCCAGCCTACACATGCCAGCAGTGTGAGTTAACACACGTGGAATGGCCCCTGCTCACCTCTGCCAGACTCCCAGGGCAGAGCACCCCAACCAAGTAGAAGATGAGAGACAGACATTTTACTTTTTAAATTATAGTAAGGTCTTATTTTATAATAGGTAACAGAGTATAGTGTCTTCTATTATTCTAGCAAGCCATTTGATGCATTATTAATTATATGAGGAATCTAGGATACATAATGAAGTAAAAGCAATTAAGCACAAGTCTTTATACATGTTTAGATAGTTGCTCTGTATTTTCAACGTAGAAAGAAGAGCAAAATGACATGCTGCAGAGCTACAGGGATATGGAGCTGCTCAGACCGCACGCAGACCGCACGCAGACCGCACGCAGACCGCACGCAG